AAAACGAAATCGACCTCGTTGGTCAAGCTTTTAAGGCATTTCTAATTATTCTCTGTTAGAAAAACTAATTTCCTATTCGAAATATGAAAAGTACAAGAAAATGTTAATATTGGGATAGGAATGTTTTTCTGGAAAAATGAAGTAGGGTTGGTCACCTACTTAGAGGGTATAATAGAAATATAACAAAAAAGAAATAAATTAAATTACATTGAAAATTCCGTTATGTGGTTTTTGCAAGTGATGTGTGTATGTAAATAATTCTCCACATTTCAAAAATAGCAAAGCTAATAAACAAAAGCAAACACGTTTCGGCAATAAAGAAGCTGAAATAAGAACTACGAAATTGACAGATCAGCCCAGTTAAGTTCCACAAAAAATTGCAAAGGCATGCACAGGAGCAGAAATAGGAAGCAAACAAACAAGCGAAGTGCATAAAAGAACGCAAGAGACAGCTTAGCATACGCATAGGCATAATAACAGAATAAAAGAGTATCTACGAATATCTTCCCGCACACACGCACTGCCCTTTGTGTACACAGGTATGCTCGACTATCATGTCAAAACCATATGTCCTGACACGTGTGTAGTTGGCAACGCGAGTAAGTAAACCAACTACAAACATTGCATGTTTGTAAATGTGCGCCATTACATACATATATACAAACAAATAGAAAAGAAAATTGATTACACAAACGCACACACGTCACACGCAGGTCTTCTTCCACACGAAAACACATTTCTTATGCATTATACACACACACGCATACACACACACGCACACACACACATACGCACACATCTTGCCTTTGAGGCTGCCAACAGCAGCATTCTCGGCGTTGACTGACTTTTCTATTGAAACTTTCTGCAATTCGTTTTCACTTTCCATCTTTTCTGTGTTCGCTCTTTTTGTTGGTTAGCACAGTTGCACATCGAGCTATTTCCACGCTTAGCTGTGTAGTTGTACAGTTAGTTATGTAGCAATTTGAAAAGCAATTTGCTTCTAAAAGCAAACTTATGTAAACAGCTTAAGATTACTTTGTTTCAATGTGTTGGATTTTTTGTTCTCGTTTTCTTTTGGCTTTAATGAAATTTTATCTTATGACAAATATCAGCAACTTGTCAGATATGTAGAAGATATTGCGTGAAATATTATACGCACATACATATGCTCAAGCCAAATAAACTGGATTACCAGTAAGTACTTACATAGATGTATATGCCTTTACGTGGATTTATGTAAGCGTGTATGCTGCGTGCTGTTGGTGTTTCGTATTTCTTAGGAAAATATTGAAATTTTATGCCTGAAATAGATCACGTGTTTCAGGCACAATCGACAAGTGAATGTTATGAAATATATTTATATATATGAAACCGCTGGCCAAGCTTCTTTTGTCACCTAAGTATAGTTCATTTTGAGCCACCTCTAAGCGGCCAAAGGATTCTATATGAAGTGGTTTTATTTTACATCAGATCTACGTTCGTAGAGATTAGCTTTCTCTGCCGAGGAGCGACCGCAAATACAAAAATTAATTTTTCATAATCTTGCATGGTAGTCGAACGAAGACTCGTACACTGGTCTTCAGAATGGCAGTACTCGATGGTAAACACTACAGATAAACTTGTATTATAATGCCCCCGAATGAATTTCTGCCAACGCTAGAGGAGAAGTCGTTCGACGTAGCGATGCCCCGTGAACCTTGGCTGCAAGCAGTCGGAAGATTTCTGTACTGAAACCAGCAAGCTTCTTTTTATTCTATAGGAATTTAGCAGAAAGAGTGAGTATTATACTCATATCTGTTAGAAAACTTCAGCTGTGGGAGAACGGCGATTGTGACCATTTGTAGGGGAAAAAAGGTGTCACCATCGTACTCTTATGCCACATGACCAGCATTATCGAAGCTCCTCTAGGTGAGCTGCGGACGCTAGTGGAGTACTCCACGTGCATGGGAGAACCGGTAATTTTCGGCGCGTACGCAAAGCACAGCACACCAAATGGGGCAGCAGTGAGATCAACGACAGGATTGAGTCTCCTTTCCGCTATCTATAACAATCATAACATTATACAAAGAGGCACTAAGCCTTAGCCTACGTTTATAACACCTACTTAAAAGAGAATTAACAAACTAATATGCATCACGCCACCTCATTACTCAGTACCTTAAGGGTATTGTACGTAAGATCAACGATAGAAATAAACCTAACAAGTGGGAATCTGAAGAGTGAACTCTCACTAAGACGTCAAAGGAAAGTTTCATGTTAGTGCGGATGGCTGAATCTACACCGTAAGTGTTGGCATCGCTTATTTTAGCAGGGCTTAAGGTATACAAAACTCGATCATGTGTCAAATCAAAGCTGTGAGGGGTCACTTTACTGCTGAAATCTCAATGTAGAGGTGCGAGTGAAGAAAGCACCAGCGTCGCCACAAGCAACTCAAGCCAAAAGCAGGGCATTTCTAACTCTACGCTTCTAGCAATAAGCTGCCAAACTACTGAAGTATTTTCCATAAAAATAGTGGCTGGTTACTGAAGGCTGCTGGTTGCGAAAGTAGAGGATACGCAATGGACCATAAAGACCTTAATTTCATACAGCACGAAGTTGGCTGTGGTCGCACTATGCAAAGAAGCCATAAAAATCCTGACTGTAAAAGTCAGAGTTTACCTTTACTGGGTGACAGGTTACGTGGCCATTGAAGGCAATGAGATAGATTCTATATATATTTTTTTTATTTACAAATTTTACTTTCGGTTTTGCATTAATAACGGAACATAATAGGGCTGCAGGTAGGTGGACTTTAATTACGAGTTTATATGAGTAAGTAATTTTGGTATTTAAACACGGGTAAATTATTACAATGGGGGTTATATATTTAAATTATTTTTTAGTTATTTTAATAATGTTCATGTATTTCAAAGATGGTACAGCCCTTCTACGGCAATGGTAGTTGGCGCTGACTATGGGGTCGCCTTTCTTGTGGATTGGACTGAATACAATTTAGTTCCAAACGTCGGGCAAGCTTTCATCGGACCATTTTTTGAAAACAAGCTGTTGCATTCATCTTGTCAGCTCTTCACCATCGTATTTTGTTGTTTTTTTTTAAACGCTTAGATGTTTTTTAAGCGGGCGATTTCTTTTCGTACTTCTTCATATTTGGGTAATGGAACAACTTTTCAATCACCATCAAATGGAGTTTCTGGTTCACCTTCCCTCGGTGTTTCTTTTCACTACTATTCAGCAGAGTAAATTAGGTATACTCTGGACATCCGTCACTTGATCAACCCTCTGGGTTCTACAAAAGTTTGCTCCGGTCTTGAAACCTTCCGTAGAATTTCGAGCGTCATAGAATTTTCCTCGTACTCATGCATTTCGGCCTCTTTCGTTTTTTCTCTGCAAAGGCGTCTTACTTGTTTCTTCAGCTCGGTATCTATCCCACCTCGCACGTGTAGTGGTCGATCGCAAGGTTGCAAGTTATTCAGTTTGTTTTCTCTCTTCCTCATTGTACCAGCTCTTTTCCATGCACTGCCGGAACACCATTGCTTCGTTTGCATCTGTATTTAGGTAGTTTTAAGTGCCGTCCCATAGGTCCCTTATGCAGGGCTGCTGATTTTTAGATCCCAGTTGATGTTAGGACCCCAGAACGGTCGCCGTTCGCCTTTGTTGTACCGTCCATAGCATATCTTGAACGGCTGTGATGTTAGCCATTAGTTTTATTTGAACATCTAACAGCTAGCGGCATCTTCCCAATTAAGGAACAGTGTATTCCAGGTGCATGACTTCAAATTGTAATCCTTAGAACGTTTTAGGGGGTCTTTGTCCCAGGTGGATGTGGTGGACGGATGTTTGTACCCAAAGGATACTTGGTCTAACATGGCAGTCGTGAGCTGCTTGAACCATATGTAAAATAATCGTTTCTGGCCACTTCCAGCTGAATGGCAGTCAAAAACTTTCCTCACTTACGGAAACTTCTACACGTGGCTTCATCTCCCTTTTTAATCCTGGTCAGAAGTTTTTTTTAACACTCTTCGAAATTCAATCGACCGAAGTTAGTATAAATTTTAATAAAAGTTTTAGATATAAAAACTGAAGCTCAGGATTTTTAATCTCCACCTGCTACATACCCATATAGCAATTTAGTTGGTTAAACAAATTTGTTAAAAAATAAAAATAAAATTAATATAAATAAATATATGTAAAATATAAATAAATAAATGAAAAATCCGCTCCATATTATAAGTTATTGTGTCGCCATAGTGACTTTCCTGCTCTAAATAACTTTTACTATTTCTTCCCTTGCTACTTTATAATTTCATTTTGAAACTTTTCCACTTTTCCTTTGTTGACAAACGTGTCTGCTGCCTATCAAGCGAAAATGACAAACCGCAGGCACTGCACGCGGCAATAAAATGTGGAATAATAAAGTGAGCTATTTATGTGCGAAAGTGCCTCACACACATACTTACCGTTATAAGTAAGTACAACATGTAACTCAATCAATGCTAGAGTTGGTTTATAGAAGAATAAGGAAGAAAATTGAATTCACTTGCAAATATTGTTTTGTGAAGTTAAGCACGCTTAGAGTTGGGGAAATAATAATTACATCTACAAGTAGGAAAGTGACTAAGGAGACAAGTGTTTAGGTAGCTCTCAACACTTACACACATGCAAACACCTGCTGGTAGAAGTATGCAGCGCACGTGTATATGCACGTGTGTTTGCTATGACTCAGACTAATGATAAGTGTTGCTGTGAATTATTTAAGTCATATTTTAGTCACATTTATGCACAGTATAATAAGTAAGTCAAACAAATGGTAATAACGTGCGAGCGAATGTGAATAATTTATGTTTGTACACACTTATATTTGTATTTTCCTGCCACTGACAAACGTCTTTCGTACACAACGCCGCCTATTGTTTAACTCTTTTTAGAGTTTTCAAGAAAATTTGTTTACATTGCCTCTTTTCTACATTTAATTTCATTTTAGACGCGGCTGACATTGCGTATACGTAACCAAAATTCGCTTGTAGGCTGCAAGTGTGCGCTTCTTGGAATTTCTTGCATTGCCTGCAGATAAAAAAATATATACATATACAAATAAATAGAAAAATAAGTTCGTAAATATCTTACAAAACAAGTCAGGCAAACAATTACTCCACCAAAATTGTTCCTACCTTCGTTTTTACTTCTCTCCACTCTATTCGCTCGTCTTTTGACTGTCAAAACAGACGGCCAATTAGCAGTGTATATTACTGCCGTGCATAAAAAGTAATTCTTTATTACTTTTCGAGCCAATGAAGTAGAAATCCAAGCTGTTTTGAAACAAAATTTACACGAATTTCACTTTTTCATGCGTAAAACTTTCCACAAAAATCAAATCGATATTGTCATAGCAAAATTTCGCATTCCACACACAACGTTGTGCTGTAACAACAAGTAAAAATAAGAAAAAACAACAATAATTTTATTTTCAAGCGCACGTCTTCTATACAACACATAACAATGAGAAACTTTTCTATTTGCTATTTTTACCAGATACAGCAACAAAGCACCTGCCTTACCTTTCCGCTCTGCTTGCTTGGTATATTGCTGCGCGTTCAGCCTCACTGCGCAACGCAAAAAATGGCATACCTTGAAAATTGTTGTTGTCACATTCTTTCCTTTTTTTCTTTTTTTCTTTTGCAGCTAATTTTGAGATTTTTCTCATGTACCTGATGGAATTTTCCAATTCGGTTTTAATCGAAGATGTTCAAAAATTGTCTATAAAATTCCTTCAACTCATTCTAACATTTCAACTTTTCACATTTGCTATATACATATGGGTATGTGTGTGTAAGAGTCTGTCTTTTGTGTCTTGGCGTTGCCTTTTTGGCCTTTGGCACATATCCCAAAGTGTCACTAATAGCAAAGTTCGTAAGTATAAAATGGTGGAAGGTGCGCCGCTGTAAGTACATGATGCGAGTGTAATCGAATTGACATTTCGTGTAGTTGCAAAGTTCTCGAGCACTTATCTATATTTAATGCATATATGGCACGGACTTTAATAACCGTTAAACACATCATTGATATTGTAGTATTTTTATTATTATTTTATTTTATTTTATTTTTTTCATCAATAACGTGAAACTTTTGTATATATCAACTCAAATAAGCTAAATTTTTGGCAACAGTTCGGCCAAACAATACTTTTTCGAGTAGAAACACATTTTTTTACAAAATTTATAAAAATATTTTTTTTTTTTAATTTACCAATTATTAAGAGGAACGGAACTACCGGACAGAACGATAATGACGACTGATAATTTTTTCAAAAAAGTTCAAAGCAATGTTATGAAGTAAGAAAATAAATGCCTACTTAAACTCCACTAAAGATATTCGTCAGAAAGCGACTCGGAAAAGCAAACTATTTTTCTTCCAATTCAAAACTCATAATTGCCTCTTTATAGCTGCCTGAAAAACTTAATAAAGGATAGTAGTTGGGACTGAAATACATCCGATTGCATTTTTCCCCTTTCCAATTGAAATTACTCAGCGTAGGAAAGATCATCGTCTTCTTTTTCTAATTGAGGTTGCCACTCGGCAGGACATGTTAAGCCACTTGACTGTATTTCCAACATGAAAATCATTCCAAGCTGGCTCATTTCAAACTGTTGGTCTTTCCATTTGTTGGAAAAAAATATCAAAACGCACAAAAAATTGTTTATGTCAAATTTGGACTGAAAACTTCAGGTGTTGTTTCCTTGGATGCTTTCTTCAATCAAGTCAATCCAACACATAGCAGAATGAAAGTGTTTCATTTCGAATTCAATTTACGCAACCGATCATACGATAAGCAAATATAGCAACTCCTTTTCGTGCCGCTGAAGGCTGGTGTGGTGTATATCGTTTCTTCCTTTTACGACATTTTTCTAATATTTGGCATATGGTGAATATGTGGTCTAAAAACTGATGCATTTCCCTTTTTCAATTATTTCTTGTTACTTTTGCATAGCTCCGCAAGTAAGCCATCGTTCCCGGAACTTAATTATTATCAAAACAAATAATCGTTATTCGGGTTTCATAATCATAATTTTGTGATTGAACTTCATTTTCGAGTAGCGATTCGAGTTCGCCATTCTCGATTGCTGGATTTCAACTGCCTTTCAGGAAGCTGGAAAAGTGTGCACCTAACAAATTCGCTATGCTTGGAGCGTCAGTTTCCAGACGTTTCCCTTTCACTTCTTGATGACTACGCTCTGGTTCTAAAGCATTTCTAAGTCAATTAGCTTATCAAACTCTTTTCATTAATCCGTTTTAATTCCTCTTTTTTACAGTTGGCAAATGCATTTTGCTTTCCATCTAAGATGAAGATGACTTATGATTGGAAGAAGCATTCATTTTTCTCCCACCGGCAGCTCGACATTCCTCACGGATCATTTATTCTGGTAGCTGCATAATAACCAAAAGTAATTTTCCGGCTGAACTGTTCCTCATCAGTCACAATTAGTCCTGTGATATCTATAGTCTTCACCTTCGTAGATGCCGATAACAGATTATAGCCGATTTAGCAACATCATGACATTTATTCCTTTCTGCCATTTGTCGATAGTCGGAACTACAAAGCACATTCAAAACCTTTTCCATCTTGTCATTCCAACGGAGTGGAGATCTTCATCTTGCACTGATCCTACTGGTCGGTATATCAACTAAACTTTTCAAAACTTAGTTTTACATTGGCAATTTTCGGCCGAGCTTCTCCTCCAATATTTGATATGCATTTCGATGATTTTCCAACAAAAGGAGGAACTTATAGTTTTTTCTTAGCCCCTTCGAATAGTAAGTGGATATTTATGAGGAACTTTATTGACATGGATACACTAGGATTGACTACCGTGAGGTGACCGCAATTAGTACGCTGACCTTTCTGGCTACCACCACAAAGTCAGAAATTCCTGGGGTGTCTCTGTATACGGGAGCCTAAACCTGGGATGTTTTAGATAAGGACACAAGCTTATTAGGAATTCTTGTGCATTTTGTTGTTGACTTTGAGGTGGTAGATTTGCAGAGACTAAATATAGACTTGGCCGTCAGTATAGCAAGGGAAAGCGAGTCAATTACAAGCGATTAGGACTGCACTCTTACATTTCAACTGGAGTTTTCTCTGGAAAACTAGACCTGTCATATTGATATCGTTTCCTTAAGAAATCATTAGGTTGCTATCGACTTCCTTAACCAGCCAAAAAAAATCGTATAAAGTATTTAATTTAACTACTATGAGAGGCTTAAGTGAAGCAGAAAGAATTCTCTTTTATATATATTTGTAATCCATTTTCCATGTTTTTTTATCTTTTTTACATAATCACCATTGATTTCAAGCATTTCTTAAGCCCACAGATCCACTTCTGAAAACAGTCTTCAAAATGTCTCATCGTTACTATTAAAGATCTTTCCTTAAATTTTTTTTTTTTGTTTGATTTTGGAAATGACCAGAAATCAAAGAGCTGTATCTGGCGAGTATAGTGCTGGACGTATTTCTTCGATCCCAGAGATCGCAATAAAATTACTCGTTATTTCAGCAATGTGGGGCGGTGCGTTGTCAAGGAGTAAAAAAAGCGCCTCTTTCTTCTTGTTTTTCAACCACTTTTTTGAAGTTTTGGAAAAACACTCTTCGGTGTATCATTTTGCAGTTACCGTCTGAATTTTTTGCGGCAAAATACCAACTACGTTTTTAGATTAGGTGAAGTAAACCGGCATCGCTACTTTAATAACTAAATTTTGTTGCTAAGATTTTAAGGGTGGGTTCCTAGATCGTACTTGTAGAACCAAGATTTGTCAACAGTAATGACTCTACTAAAGTTGCCTGACTGACCGTTTTCGAATTTGTTTGGAAAACTTTGAGCAAAATACGTTTGGGCCTCATTTAGTATTCGTGAATACCCATTGAGCAGATCTCTGAATATATCTCTAATATTCACGACGCAGCCATGATATTCAAGTCGAATTTATTAGCAATCGTTTTTTTGTGTCAATCGTGGATCTTCGTCAATGTTAGACTTCAACAGATCTCCAGTGACGTCATCAGTGGAAGATTTTGGTGAACCTTGTCGGAGCTCGTCCTCTATGGAAAAATATTCGGTCTGGAATCTTCAGCACCACTTAAAAGTAGTCTTAAAAGACGGTGCAATCATTCCTTATGCAATTTTTCTTTCACTGGGCATTGGTATTGGCTGTAAATTACCCCGAAAGGCCAAGAAAATCACATGGCGAATTTCTGTTTTCGTTGGTGATGGAATTTCATCTGACTTTTCCTCAGCTATCTGGTGGTTTCTTGACTCCATTTTAGGCGAACGTTCTAAAATTTGAAAGGAAGACGAAAAAAGCACTTGCAAAACCGACCGAGCTTTTATTAGTCTCTCATATTATGACCTCAAAAGTCTAAGGATGAGAATTTTTGAGTTTTTTTTTTTGATCAGTGTTTGCTTGAAAAATTAAAAGAGTTTACTTCATATAAATGTAGAACACTTTATGGTAACATAAAGCTAACAAAAGTAATAACTTAAGGGTCAAAGCGATTTTCATATGAGAACTATAATAGTTAGGCTGGAGAAAGTGTTGAATTTTGTATACCATAAAAAGATTTTTATTGTTCGTTATAAAAAACATTATTAATTTGAAGCAAATTATTTATAGCAGTTAACCCAACCAAAAATTTTTGTAAATATAAAAAATATCCTTGCGAATATTAAATTCTGCTTGTTTAAGCTTATCTATTCACAGCGTCACTGTGTTGCATAAATGTGCATAATTTACGATAACCGTAATCTCCATGCATTCAATTATATGCAAATATATGTGTACATGTCTACATGTATGTTTGTAGCAACGCCCCCACTTAGTGCCTTATGACATTAGAGCGGCTAATTTCCGCTGTCATGTTTCACGCAATTAGCAACTTTTGCATTTTTAATCTCATTTGAAATGCATTACCTGTGCAGAGGCACTTCTATGCACACAACAGCATATGCATGTGCACAGATGTGTGTATGTAATGTACAGACACATGAAACGCCTACGAACCGCCTACGTGCTTACAGGTTCAAGATAACGCTCATGTGACAACCGTTGCTGCAAAAAGGAAATAAAATGGAAAAAATGGAAATCAGCTGCGGCCAAAATGGAGCTGCCGTGTTGAAGAAAAAAGCCCACCAACTGGTGAGTGCAATTTGCAAATGCCACTTACGCAGTTAATTTAGCACTTTTTTATGCCTGCATGCCAAGTGCGCGCTCGTTCGCAGGTCGGCCAGCTGGCTGGGAGGCTGGCAGGCTGCATGGCATAGCATGGTACTTCACTTCCGCAGGCGGTCATAAAAAACAGAGAATTCTTCATGAGACCAGCGATTTTGCCACACATTTATGCATATGTAAAATTTTCATTTCGCATGCATAACGCTCCGACTGTTCCGCTTGCCTTGCCGCAGTGGCCACCTCTTGATGGCGCAGCGCTGCTCTGCCACGGCAGCAGGTCACATGACAGCTGTGCAAATGTACGCGGCCACAGCGCGGCTGCCATTTTATGGCATTTGCGTCGCTGGCACTAGCTGGGCCAAGTCACTGGGCCAAGGCGTAGTTATGTAGGTGTGCTGTGGCCTACCTCAGTGCACACGCGCGACCATGTCACTCGCCAAGTACCGTATGCATACCAAATATCTTCCAGTGTACTTATGTACGGCCGTTTGTGTGTTTGTGCGGTGGCTTTCGCTTGTCGCACTGATAATGTCGCATGACAAATGATTCCCTTGATTCCTGAGTCGTTGCGCTGCTGACTGTTGGCTGAATGGTTGACTGGCATGTTGGCAGCCGCAATTATTTCTTGTCATAGGCAAAGTAGCATCGCCATGCATACATACAGACATACGTGAGTGGGTACGCACGTAAATTACGTTCACAAGCAAACCACAAGTATGCTTCT